CCCGGCACTGAGGCAGCAGTGCTAACCACTGAGCCACCGTGCCACTGATGGCAGACTTTTCTTTCCCTAAAAAGGGCATTAGTGAACCAGATGGGTTTTATGACAAATAACATGGTTGCTGTAAGTCTGGCTTTTAATTCCAGATTTATTAATGGATTTCAAATTTCACTGTCTGTTTCTTTGGGATTTAAATCTATGCCTCTAGCACATTGGCTTGGTCAGTGGACTACTCCAGTCGCATTACAGGTAGTTCTGTTATAACTTGTGTTTTGTTAATGCGAATTGGCTATAGCGATTGTTGAATAGTGGACGCTGTTTGGATAATGTGAACTTTCCGCTATACAGGTATAGTGATTTTTTCCACAGCTATTTCCCTATAACGCGATTTTCTATAGCGCAGGGTCACAAGAATGAAACTGTCGCGTTGTAGGAGAACTACTTGTGCCACACTGACATTACCTTGCCGGTAAATTATAATGGCAATAACAGTGAAGCCATAAGACAACAGCACCGTAACTGTGAAGGGCGATCAGGGGATGGAGTACCTGAATGAAGTGAAGTCAAAGGTGAAGAGGAGGGATGCAAATCACAACTGTAGTCACATTGGATATTGAACATTGAGATTGGCAAGGTCTCAGCATTGAGAGTGGGAAGAAAGTTGATTTGGGAACACTAAGCAAGAATTGAATAGTGATATTCAAGCAAATTCAAATTTTCTAGGACATCAGAAGAAAGAAAGAATAACATCAGCCTTTAGGGGGATGTATTTATACTTTCCAACAGCCTCGTGGCAGATTAATGTCATCAACATCAGGGAGTTTGGATGCATTAGGGGGATTAGTGAATATAAACATTTACTAGGAGCACAAACTGGCACCATATCACTGACCTGGACTTCATGCAAAACATGAGTAAACCTCTTGCCTGCAATGTTGTTACATTTTTATATGCTTGGTATTTAATTTGTTCACAACCAATCCAGTCAGGCTTCATCCACACCAAGTGTGAAAGATGCTTAAATGCATAGTAATTGATATGCAGTTCAAAATTTTCAATTGGGTAAATATATTGCAGTTGTTAGTTATTGGTATGTGTAGACCTTGCACTCAGTTTTGTCAAGCTGCTTAAAATGTGAAAACAATCATAGAATCCCTACAGTGTGGGAACAGGCCCTTTGGCCCAACAAGTCCACATCGAACCTCGGAGCATCCCACCCAGACCCATCCCCTAAAACCCACCTAATCTACACCTCACTGAACATCACGGGCAGTTTTTAGCATGGCCAATCCACCTAACCTGCACATCTTTGGACTGTGGGAGGAAACCGGAGCACCCGGAGGAAATCCACGCAGACACGGAGAACGTGCAAACTCCACACAGACAGTCGCCCGAGGCTGGAATCAAACCCAGGTCCCTGGCGCTGAGACACAGCAGTGCTAACCACGGTGCCACCCACAAGCTTTAGAAATTGATTTGGCATTAATGCTGAAATTAACATAATGAAACATTTTCAAATTTAACTTAAAGCTACCTATAGCATTTGAACAGCAGTGTTCACTGAGTGCAAATTTGAGTTAGAGATATTTTAGATTTGACATGATTCATGAACAGACAGATGTGTCTGCCGCACAAAATTTAAGCTGCTGATGAGTTGTTCAATAACAAAATTCAGTGAGAAAGACCCATCCTTGGCTGACCTGGAGAAGCTAAGGAATATATTTGAGGAACAGAAGTTTACCTCATCATGCCTGACTTTTGCCCCTATTGCACCTCATCTAATGTGATCTTGCCCACTTCTGAGCTTCTCAAGGCAGATTGCAAATACAATAGGGAATCTCCATAGATCTTGCACAAGGCAACTGGTGAGTGAGTTGTAAGCTTTGGGGAAAATCCATGCATAGAGTTGCATGCTCTTATCTGTAATACTGGCAGGTTGAAGAAGGTGAATATTCATTGAGAAGTCAAAGACTGAAACTGACCTGATGGATACAAAATAAAAGGTGAAACTGGCAAACCGGACCTCAGCCACTTGGAAAGACTTGTACTGAGAAGGCGATTTCCTTCAGCCCAAATTTGATGAATTTGTGTAGATGTTGCAACTTAGTACTTTTGAAACCAAAAAGCACTTGAAATGTCAGGCTTCCAGTAAGACTAGCATAAATGATTTCATGCCTTTAGTATGTGACCACCGTCAAAGGATCATTCAAGTGTGTGCCAAATTCTCATGGAAATACCATGATATGCTCTTTGGTAATCTCGGTCCCCAGCTGTTCTTTCCACCAGAGATAACCAGGTGTAGAGCCGGATGAACACAGCAGGCCAATTTCTGAAGAAGAGTCTAGGCCCGAAACGTCAGCCTTCCTGCTCCTCTGATGCTGCTTGGCCTGCTGTGTTCATCCAGCTCTACACCTTGTTATCTCAGATTCTTCAGCATCTGCAGTTCCTACTATCTCTGTTCTTTCCACCAGCCAGCTTTAGCACCTGGGAGTTGACTGGCAGCTGACCCCAGTGATTTACCCTACCACAGTGGCACAGGAAAGGTACTAGCAGAGCCATCTTTACACCTGTGCCAGAATTGAGCAAGCAATTACAAATGGATCTTTTTGCTTCAATAAGGTGGCTTTCCACCACCTACTCAAAGTAAATGGTCCTTGCCAGTAATGCATACGTTCCATGGAGCAAGAATTGTTCATAGCTGACGCCCAAAACTGATCAAAAACAAAAACCGAAATTGCTGGAAAAGATCAGCAGCATCTGTGGACAGAAATCCGAGTTAACAATTCAGGTCAAGTGACCCTCAGAACTGATTGTTGCAGCAGTCTACTAGTGACATCTGGCCAACTTAAAAATGCCCCATTTATCTCTACTCTTCCTGTGTTAAACAGTCTTCTAACTATGATCTAGTACCTATAGCTCTAAGCCCTTACATATTAATTAACCATGATGTGATTTCATGGCAGAACAGAATGATCTTCCTTCCCCACTTTCTGAATTGGCTCTGGTTTTCTAATAGATTTCTAATGACTTGCTGCTGCAATTGAAGTCAGTAAACTAAGATAGTCAGGGATGACCATAGTGTGCATGGTTCAGGCAACACTTGCGTGATGGAGAGGAGGTGTAAATGTATCTGTCAATTTAAAAAAGGAAAGTTGGAGCTATTATTCTAACAATGGGCTGGATTTTACAGTAGAAATGGTAAAAGTCAACAAAAAATATCTGAACCACATATATGCATAGTTAAATGGAGCAATAGGGATGTTACTGAAATGTCTGGCTACTCTAGGAACTTTGTTACAGATTCTTGCCAGGAAAGTTGATTGTTCAAAGACACTGAAGTTGCTGCCCTTGTATATATGCACTAATTTTACCTGAAATCATTAAACGTGTCTATTTGGTGTAAGTACTGTTGTGTGATAAATCTTAGTTATTGTCAAGCAATTTCTTTAGGACTAAAAATTTAACATGTATAGAGAGTCTTGTCCCCTCAAACTGTTAACTATTGAAGTCTGAAAGAATTGCATGATTTTCCATTTTTCTTTCTGGCTGTTCTGTTTATCTTTATTTCACTTGCTGTAGCTGATTTGTCATTGTCACTATTCTAACTGCCACCTCCTGGTTCAGTGCTGGCCCTTGAAAAAACTTCATTGTGATTGCATGAGGACACAGTTGATTGCTGTGGACATGCCGTACTCTTTGGATGGTTTCGCAGACAGGAGAATCATACAGTACAGAAGAGACCCTTCAGACTGTCCTGCCAAAATATACTTCTACCTACACTAGTTGCATTTCCCGCACTAAGCCCATAGCTTTGAATGTTATGACACTTCAGATGTTCATCCAAGTACTTTTTAGAATAGAATCGAATCCCTACAGTGTGGAAACAGGCCCTTCGGCCCAACAAGTCCACACCGACCCTTGCAGCATCCCATCCCTGAACACTATGGGCAATTTAGCATGGCCAATCCACCTAGCCTGCACATCTTTGGACTGTGGGAGGAAACCGGAGCACCCGGAGGAAACCCACGCAGACACAGGGAGAATGTGCAAACTCCACACAGACAGTCGCCCGAGGCTGGAATCGAACCCGGGTCCCTGGCACTGTGAGGCTGCAGTGCTAACCACTGAGTCACCGTGCCACCCTAAAGTTGAGATTTCCCATCCCAACTACCCTCAGGCATTGTGTTCCAGGCCCCCCACCACCCTCTGGATGAAAACATTTTTCCTCCAATCCTGTCTAAACCTCCTGCTGTTCACTTTAAAATTATGGCCCCTTGTTGTTAACCCTTTGACTAAGGAGAACAGCTGCTTTCTATTCACCCTCTCCATGCCCCTCATAATCTTAGTTGTATAAGGTCTCCAGTCAAAGTACTCTACTATAAAGGAAATAATCCAAGTTTGGCCACCTTCTCTTCAAAACTGAATTGCTCAATCCCAGATAACATCCTGCTGAATGTCATTTGCACTCTGATCCCTCTGTTCCTCTGAGCTTCCTAGTGTCTTGCCATTCATTGAGTACTTGCTTGTCTTGTTCCCTTTTCCAAATTGCATCTCCTCACATTTATCAGGGTTAAATTCCAACTGCCACTGTTCTGCCCACCTGACCAATCCATTTATATTTTCTGCTAACCTAACACCTTCCTCACTGGCAACCTCCTGGCCAGTCTTTGTGTCATCTGTAAACTTGCGTATCATCTCTTCCCCCTACTCCACCTTCCTCCCCCACCCCCACATTCTCATCTACTTTAAGCACATCACAAACAAAGAGACAGCACATCCCTATGGTATGCCACTGCACACCAGGCTCCAGTCACCCAAACAGCCTTCTAGATTCAATCTGTCTCATATATCATTTAAGCCTACTGATTCTGTATCCATCAAAAGTTTTGGGACGACGTTCAAATGTAACGTTCATTCACTACAAGTAAAATTAAAAAGGTAGAATTAAGATTCCTCCCTTGAAGTACTGGAAAATCTCTAACTTTATTCTCTTTATATTTTAGGTGTATTAAGCACAAGGACTACCCGTTCAAATAAACTTTAAACCTGTACTTCAATTGGGATGTCCTGGTCACGTGTTTGAAAATTTGTGGCTTCTCTTGTTTGTACACTTAAACAGCAGAATTAATTTTAATGCTTCTAAGGGATCTGAAATCCTCTACTTTTTTAAAATAATATACTAGCATGATTTACATCTATGATGAACAAGAGAAATGTTCCACCTCTGTAACTGCACTGTGATATATTTTGGAAGCTACTTGTTCTTATTATGTCCGTAATGCAAATAAACATTTGAGAGTAATTTTGCAGTTCTGCTTGGGTACCTCATTGTATTGCTCTGCAAATCTGGGAATTGTAGTAAAATTGCCCACAATTTCCTGATAAACATGGTTGGAAGGTGAAGTTCCTACTGGTGACATCAGCTTGGAACATTGAACTTTTTTTCTAATTTGAAGCGCAACAATCTTTTTGTTTTTTTTTATATTTATTACTGGGCTTATAAGTGATAAACAAAGGACAAAGATTCAAATAAACTTTTATTATTGGCCCCAAGGTAGCATTACATTGAGCAGATATTTGTCATTATGTCAGACAGAAACCAACTTTATATTGCACCTTAATGGACAGAATAATTAGTTTAAAAATTGGTTATTGGTTATAATAAGTTACAATTCTTTTAAACTTTGATCATTGGATAACTAACTGGTCATAATATAAAAATAGGAACTGCTGGAAAGACTCAGCAGCTTAGGCAGCATTTGTGGAAAGAAATACAGTTTATGCCCAAGACAACTCCTTTTTGGATTAGAAACTTGAAGAAGAGACTGGTTCAGTTTCAGAGTGATGGAGTTATTGGCTAGGAAGCAGGGTTTTGGTAAAGACTGAAGGCTGTGGGCTTAATTTTGCTGGCCCAGACAGTGTAGGTGGCACCAGGCTGAAAAATAGGGAAGAGTCACATTTTAGTGATACCTGATCCATTCCCATCTTTATGGGAAGTTTCCAGAGATAGGCATGGGGATTAAACTGACAGATCACTCCAACGACACAGTCAGTAGCCCCAAATAGAGCCTATTTTCCAATAGTTACGGGATTTTCCTGACATTAGATCAGCAGAACCTGACAGTTCTCGATATGATCTTCCACTCTGGACTTGTGGGTACTGCAGTTGCTCAAAGTGCAATTCTGGATCACACACCCAATCAAGGTGGTTTTTGAAGAGGAGTTTGATAGGATGCTTCTATTGCTTGTATTTGACCTTCAGCTGGTTTCATAGATGCTTGAATAAGCTGGATGGCTGCCCCTGTGCACAAAATGTCTTTGTAACAGCTTTGTAATACTAGCGCAAGTTTAAGATTCATAAATGTACTGCAAGTAGATTGGGGAGGTGCTGTGAGAGTTCTAAGAGGCTGGTAGTTGTCAGATGCCAATGTCTTTCATGACGTGGGCATGTAGCTGGAGCCTGTGGAGCATGCTTAGATGTTGTTACCAGGTGTAACAAGTTCTGCTAAGTTGCCAGTGTGGAAGTGCAAGCATTAAGCTGGCATTCTTCTCAAGGCATGTCAACTTCTTATTCGCTGACAGTGGATGGTCAGATGCCTATTATTGAGGTGAGATGTGCAATTAATGAGGCTGATAGGCAGTAATTCCCATTAATAGCAATTTGCAGGTGAAGAACGAGAATCTTATCTCAATGCCTGAAACATAGTCGCTAAATGCTGCTAGTTCCTCCTGTAGCCAGATGGGCCACTCAAAATGGCAGAATTGGATCATAAAGCATGCTGGGAAATTGAGCCAATCATTAGCCAAAATATCCAGACAAAAGGCACTGAAATAAACAAGCTGCAGACCCAGACTGGCAGGCTGCATAACACAGTTCACAATTGACCTAAGAGGTAGTAGGAACTGCTGATGCTGGAGTCCGATAACGAGGTGTAGAGCTGGATGAACACAGCAGGCCAAGCAGCATCAGAGGAGCAGGAACAGTTCTGAAGAAGGGCCCAGACCTGAAACGTCAGCTTTCCTGCTCCTCTGCTGCCTGGCCTGCTATGTTCATCCAGCTCTACACCTTATCACAATTGACTAAGCCTACTTACCAGGACAATAGGAAACATTGAACTGTTTCCAGATCAAAGGGACTCCTCTCACTCTCTGATCTGGGAAGCCGACCTGATTTGCAGCCCCTGACACTTTCAGAAATGGAGGACCAAAGACGACTCCACCATTCACGTGGCACTGCCTGATTGGGTCTAGTCAATCAGGGGGATCGATTGGGAATTAAAGATCCTCCCAAAGGAGTGCGGAAGCTTCCAAGGATAAGAATCACTGCAACAGCATCCTCTGGAGTGGTAACTCGAGACCAACCACCTTAAGAAAAGGTGCCCCTAGGAGCACGGGGAGTGGAGGACCAGATGACCATTACTATGTGGATTGAGGCCAAGGTCTAGTGTGGTGATGTTTCATCATTCCAAATTAAGTTTTAAAGTACAAGATACTGACTTAAATCTGACAATTAACACTAAATCTAACATATTGATTGTTACTTTGTAACATAATCGTTACTATAGTATTAATTGTGTTAAAACCAATAAAGATCATTTCTTATTGCTATTAAGAGTTGACTCACAGTCCTTTGTGGAATAAACAAGCTAAATACACTGTGGCGAGCACAACACCAATAAAAAGGAAAGGAAGAGGTAAATGGGTAATCGTTCATTCTCCCGCTCACAACTGGAAACAACACACATTCAGTTACTTTGAGTCATAGAGATACACAGCTCTACAGCATGGAAACAGACCTTTTGGTCCTACTCGTCCATGCCAACCAGATATCCTAAATTAATCTAATTCCATTTGCCAGCATTTGACCCATGTTAGTCTAAACCCTTCCTACTCCTACCCATCCAGATGCCTTTTAAATGTTATAATTGTACCAGCCTCCACCACTTCCTCTGGCAGCTCATTCCATGCATTTACAATTCTCTATGTGGAAAAAGTTGCCTTTTAGGTCACTTATAAATCTTTTCCTTCTCACTTTAAACCTATGCCCTCTAGTTTTGAAATTCCCCACCCTGGGGAAAAGACCTTGGCTATTCACTCTATCCATGCCCCTCACGATTTTATGAACCACTAAGGTTACCCCTCAGTCTTTGTTGTTCCAGAGAAAATAGCCCCAGTCTCTTCAGCCTCTCCCTATAACTCAAACCCTTCAACCCTGGCAACTTCCTTGTATATCTTTTCTGAACTCTTTCAAGTTTCACAACTTTCCTATAGCAGGGAGAGCAGAATTGCACACAGTTTTCCAATAGTGGCCTAACCAATGTCCTGTATAACCGCAACATGATGTCCCAACTCATACTCAATGCACTGACCAATAAAGGCAAGCATACTAAACGCCTTCTTCACTATCCTACCTATCTGCAACTCCACATTCAAGAAACTAGGAACCTGTACTCCAAGGTCTCTTTTTTTTCAGCAACACTTGCCAGGACTATACCATTAAGTGTATAAGTCCTGCCCTGATTTGTCTTTCCAAAATGCAACACCTCACATTTATCTAAATTAAACTCCATCTGCTGCTCCTCAGCCCATTGGCCCATCTGATCAAGGTCCTGTTGTGCTCTGAAATAAACTTCATCGCCATCCACTAAACTTGCAATTTTGGTGTCATCTGCAAACTTACTAACCATATCTTCCTTATTCACATCCAAATCATTTATATTAGTGACAAAAAGCAGTTGACCCAGCACCAATCCTTGTGGTGCACTGCTGATCTCAGGCCTCCAGTCTGAAAAGCAAACCTCCACCACCACCCTTTGTCTTCTACCTTTGAGCCAGTTCTGTATCCAAATGTTTCAGAGATAGTAGGAACTGCAGATGCTGCAGAATCTGAGATAACAAGGTGTCGAGCTGGATGAACACAGCAGGCCAAGCAGCATCAGAGGAGCAGGAAGGCTGACATTTCGGGCCTAGACCCTTCTTCAGAAATCTTATACAGATCACTTCTACCCCAGAACAGATTCCAATGATCCAAACAGGTGAATCCTTCTCACTTGCACTAGATCCTCAGCCACGCATTCATCTGTTCTATCCTCCTCTTCCTACTGTCACTAACTCATAGCACCAGGAGTAATCCAGATGTTTCTACCATTGAGGACCTATTTTTTAACTCCCTGCTTAGCTTCCTTCATTCTCTCCTCAGAATTTGGTCCTTTTCTCTTCCTATGTCTTCAGTTCAAATATGTACAATGACATCCTGCTGGTCTCTCTCCCCTTTGAGAATATTCTGCACCCTCCCTGAGATATCCTTGATCCTGGCACCAGGCAGGTAACACACCATTCTGATGTCTCGTTGTCGGCCACAGAACTGTCTGTCTGTGTCTCTGACGAGCGAGTCCCCCATCACAATTGATCACTTGGAATCTGACGTACCCCTCACTACAGCAGGGACAGTCTCGGTATCAGAAACTTGCCGGCCAGTGCTACATTCCCCTGAGAGTCCATCACCCCCTACATTTTCCAAAACAGCAAATTTGTTTGAGATGGGGGCAGACACAGGAGCCTTCTGCACTATCCGCCTCCCTCTCCTATCCTTCCTGGAGGTAACCCATCTACCTGCCTGTATCTGCAATTTTTCTACCTTCCTGAAACTGCTGTCGACACAGCCCAAGCTCCTGTAAATTTGTCATTGCCTCTAACTGACGGTCCAACCGATCCATGTGATCCGATAGGATTTCCAACCAAACACACTTCCTGCAGACATATTCATCAGGAACAGTGAAACTCTCCCTAATCACCCACATCCAACATGAAGAGCACATCACTCTATTAAAGGCCATCATTACACCTTAACAATCTACAGACACAGAGAATAGAATCATAGAATCTCTACAGTGAGGAAACTTGCCATTCGGCCCAACAAGTCCACACTGCCCCTCCGAAGAGCATTCCACCCAGACCCATTATCCTACCTCTGATTTCCCATGTCTAACCCACCTAACCAAAACATCCCTGGGCACTATGGACAATTTAGCATGGCCAATCCACATAGCCTGCACATCTTTGGACTGTGGGAGGAAACCAGAGCACCCGGAGGAAACCCAAGCAGACATGGGGAGAAGGTGCAAACTCCACACAGATAGTTGTCCGAGGCTGGGATCAAAGCTGGGTCCCTGGCGCTGTGAGGCAGCAGTGCTAACCACTGAGCCACCGAACTCAGACTTACTGCTCTAATACTGCTCCAGGCTAACTTATTACCTATGTTTGATGTTTTGAAAACTTAATCAAGTGATGGATCTCAATAAA